TTGATTCATTTTTCACTGCCAAGGGTAATTTAAAAGCCTTCTCTTCAAGCTCTGAAATTCTTTCCTGTGCTTGCTCTGGTTTGTTCTTAAAACTTTCCACTGTTATTTTAAAATTCCTTCACTCTTCATTTCCACGAGGTCTGTTGTCTTTTAAAGCTATAGATCTCTTAGTGAATTTTTCAATTTTCATCCATGCATATTTTCTTTGTTTTGGGTTGGATTTGAACTTTCTCACTGATCACATTGAGCTTGCCATTCATAATTTGAATTTCATATTTGACATTTGAAAATTTTCCTTCTGATTAGAGTCCACTGCTGAAGAGCTGGTGTGATCCTTTGGAGGTGTCAAAGGATTCTGTTTTTTCTCATTGCCAGCATTCCTATGCTATGCTGGTTCCTTCTGATCAGGAATTTCTTCCCTAAGCTTAAAATGGATGGGTTTGCAGTATACCATTTCTATTCTGTTCCTCAGTGTAGAACAGAGGTGCACTGCCTTTTTCTTCATGCCAGTCAGGACCCACTGCAGTGTTGCTGGCAAGTTGGGATAGTGAAACTCAGACCTCTGGGAGGGTGGGCAGGTGGCAGTGGTGGTGGACTAGGCTAGGTAATCCTCCGGTCCCAGGTCCATGGATGGGGTTCTTCCATCCTGCTGTGGAAGAATGCTCGGGCACGAGAGGGGAGGATGCACTGTGCATCTGTAATACTGGGGCTCTCCTGCATCTCCCCGTCCCCGTGGTTGTCACAGTCCAAGCAGGTGCTGAAGGAAGTTGCAGAGGCAAGTTGGTTCCTAGTCTACGACTCAGTACTCATGCAGGGTCAGAGTGGGTCCCTCTGTGAGGTGGCAGTGGAGGTGAGGGGATCTGGGGGTTGGATACTGGGTACAGGGTCAGAAGCAGCAGCAGCAGTGGCAACAGGGTAGATACCCCAGTGGCAACAGAGGTAGGGTGGCAGTGGGAGTTTGTGTCTCCATAGGTACCACAGTGGCAGAGGCAGCAGCAGCAGCAGTTCTAGGCCCCAAGACATGTGAGAGTGGCCAGCCTCTGTACCGAATCTTTGGCCCAACAGAGGTGATGAGGAGGTGACGCTGGCAGGGCTGGCCCCCAGGAAGACACAGTGCTCTAGGGATAGGCTCTCAGAATGATGCCAGCTGTATCACTCAGGGCTTGGCAGCTTGTGGGACCCTACCATGCCACTCTCTGGAGCAATGACGATGTGTAGCTCCCTGGGTTCATCTGGAGGCTCAAGGGGGTAGAGGAGGGATGTGGAGCCCTGGAGGCCTCTCACCTCCTCCTTCGTCACCGGAGGGCACCACTCTGGCTACCACTGATCCAGACAAACAGGTTGCCTTACTGCCCTCTCCTTTGCTTTTGGTGCCTCCCACACTTCTTTATTGAATCCCAGTGCGATCATACGTGATCTAGTCAAAGGGGAATATCTACTCACCATTTTAAATCCTCTCCGTGAGAAAGGCACATGCCAGCTGATTCTAGTCCACCATCTTGGCCCTTCCCCCCACATCACTTTTTTCCTTGAGACAGGGTTGCAGTATGTTGCCCTGGATAGTTTCTAACTCTTGGCCTCAAGCCATTCTCCTGCTTCAGACCCCCAGATAGCTAGGATTATGAGTGTGTGCCACTGCACTCAGCTTGAAATTATTAAAAGAAAATGTATTTATTATTTTTGGATGGGAACAAACCTACTGGCTGTCAGTATTCATGGTAACCCAAATATGTTTTCCTGCAAGATTCTCACTGTGAATAGAAACACCAGCCAGTGGAGGTCGGGGTGGGGGGAGGTTGGCACGATGGCCTCCAGCAATTCAGCAAGAGAGATTATTCCTTGTCACAAAGTAAAGGTGAATCCTGGGTGATTTCCCCTCTTATTAAAACAGTTCATTTACCTCTCCAGATGCTAATTAACTTCCATATGTTTGATTTTGAAGTAACTGATCTTACATAACTCCCCAATTAGGAGATTTCAGTTTACCATTGTATTGTCCCAGTACTTTCACTAAACTAAAGACTTACAGGGACAATATGTTTACATATTTATGAGATCATAGTTTTTACCACCTATTGTCCTATATGCATACACGTCACAAAAATCTGTCTACAAGCAATACCCCCGTTTAGATAACCCCTAAATTAATCACTAGAGTAACATGGGGAAGAAATACATTAAACATATATACTGGCCTACAATGTATAGAAGATGAAAGAAACTGCAAAAACTAATCATGTAGGAAAACAAAAAATAATGACACTTGAAAATGAACCACAGCATATATTAATACCTTAAATCTGAAAATGGCATTACCACTGCTGTAAAATTCCTCTTCCAGTAAAATTCTTACTCATATTTATTATATAATAATCACTTCCACACAATTTTCATTCGGCTACTGTAAAAAATATTTTAAGCAATGTAACTAAATAGTATTTCACAAACATTTTCAACAGTCAACAGTCACATTGGGGGATGGGACTTGTGAGTGCATCCAAAACAGGAATGTAGTGAGCTATTATCAACAGGAACACTGGGGTCTTTCCCAACAAAGTCAGGAGTTTCAAGAGAAAACAATCAGTGTCATACTAAAGAGTCAGACTACATTATGTGATACTTTAATAATAAAACTTTTCACATCTTCATTCCCTCTTCCTATTCTGCTCATCTGGTCAAGCTGACAATAAAGTCTGAGTGTTCCCTTCTTTGGCACCATCTGGAAGTTCAAACCACATGTGTGTACCCCACATGAACCCCAGCCTTTAACAATCATAACCACCCAAGCCAGTCACATATACCAGTTCACTCAAGCCATTTGGGGGCCATCTGTGGATGTCAACCTTGCTTTCCTCAGAAAGTCTCACTATGCAATAAACATTCTCCTAACATTTCAGCGTATACATCATCATTCTCAATATCCAAACGTCAGGTACACTTCAATCAAGTTCCAGTAGGGCGGTGATGTTACCAGGGTGAATACATGTAGTTTTTAGTTTATCTAGCAAAACAAAACAAAATTCCCATTCTCTATCTTTGTTCATAAATAGAAATACATAAACATTATAATTTTGAATTATGTCACTGACTACTGCAAGGAAAAAACACATGGTATTATTTTTATCCTTATACCCACATATTCTTTTCACAATTTCCATTTATTGCTATATGTGTACTTTTCTTTCATGAAAATGAAAATGCATGCCATGGGTCCTATTTAGCATATGAGAGAAGTATGTAGAACTATAATATAGTGCACGTACATCAACAATAAAATACATTTGAGGTTATAAGTGTATGAACTTGCACTGCTATAACATTTTCACCGTACTCACATATGTATCCTATGGCAGCATGTAGAGAGAATGACTCAAGTACTAAGAATGATTACCAAAAATCATACTTACCCAAGTATAATGCACCCAAAAGTGTATGTTGTTTTTCACCAAAAAAAAAATCCTCCTAAATGGATCAACCTTAAGGGCCTAACGATGCATTTTTATTGTCTGTTATGAAGTATCCTCCTGAGGTGGAATAAAACAATGTTGGGAGAAACAATGTGATTCATTTATAGCTATGAAAAAACATTACATTTTATTAGTTAAAATTGAGAACTATGATATATTCTGAATAAAACACTTGAACATTACAATGCCAATAAATGTGCATCATGTGGAAGAACAGTCTATAGCGGTAGCTTTCATTAAACTCTTTAATATAACTTTTCTCTCTTTAACTTCAAAAACAAGACTAATTTTTGCATTATTTCTACCACATCGTCAGTCCCTAATAACCTATTACTCACTTCCCATAAAAATTCCAGTTTCTGTAGATTGTATCCTCATCTATTTCAGTGAATAAGTAGGACATTTCTTTCCTGTAATCCACTATGCCCTTCTTTCAGGAGAAACGTGAGCTGAATGCATTAAGAATGATGACTGATATCATAGTTTTGTTCTTCTCTGTCTGCTGTCATCCTCTCTATATCAGTAAATATTTAATCTCAAAGGAAAAGCCATGGTAGTTCCTATCTATATCCCAGCACTATGGGAGAGAGAGTTGGGATAACTGCTTCAGTCCAAAGTTCAAAACTAGCCCGGAAAACATATTGAGACCTCATCTCTAAAAAAATTTTTTAAATTAGCTGCACCAGGTGGTGTGCACCTGTTGTGCCAGCTATCCTCAAGAAAGACAGCTTCAGCCTTTGAATGCACAATGAGCTACGATCACATCACTGCACTCCCTGGGCAACAGAACAAAACACTATCCCTACTAAAAAAAACCAAACTAACAAACAAAAAAATATATATATATATACATGAAAGGACTGTCAGAAAATACCCAGCCATTATTAATATAATGAGAACATATTATATGGCTGGATACTTTCGAGACAGACCTTGCATTTATCTCAAAAGACAGTGTCTTTTTTCTTCCAGGAAATGGGATACAAATGGTCCTCAGTAATCAATTCAGACCCCCAGACACCACAGTGAAACCTCGGTAAGGAAGGCATAGGAAGAGATTTGAAAGTTCAGGTTGAAAGTCTTAAGGAGTAAAGCAGCCTTTTGAAAGAACCCCAAATAATTAAATATTGCATAAACTAAATACAACAGACCATTTCCACATGTCCTTTCATCTTTGACATACATCATGAGAGGAAACACATGTTGACTTGTGATTATTCCCCAGCAGGTAATATCTTGGATTATTTCTTGTATAAATCCTTGATGTTCTAAAGTAATGGTCCTTGGGTATTAGTATTAGCCTCACCATAAACATTTCATTTGCTTGGTTTCATTGAAGATGTACCTTTTGATGTGTAGTAAGTGGTGAGGTGTGGACAAGAGCCTTTCCCAAATACATTTAATTGATTTCTCTTTAGTATGTATTCTGTGATGTTGATTAATACTAGAACTCATGATGAAAATCTTCCATACTCCTGAGTTTGTAAGGATTCTCTCATAAATGAATTCTCTGATGCTGTGCAAGGTTTGAACTGCAAGTAAAAAGCTTACCACACACATTACATTTGTAAGGTTTCTCTCCAGTATGACTTCTCTGATGAACTGTAAGGCACATCTTATACCTGAAGGCCTCTCCACATACATTACAGTTGTAAGGTTTCTCTCCGGTATGAATTTTCTGATGAACTGTAAGGGATATCTTGTGCCAGAAGGTCTTGCCACATTCATTACATTTGTAAAGTTTATCTCCATTATGGATAACCTTATGGATATCAAGGCTTGAACGCAAATTAAATGCTTTGCCACATCCACTACATTTGTAAGATTTCTCTCTATTATGAATATTCCGATGTCGTGCAAGCTGTGAACTGCACCTAAAGACCTGGGCACATTCATTACATTTGTAAGGTTTCTCTCCAGTATGGATTAGCAGATGAGTAGTGTGGCTAAATCGTGTACGAAATGCTTTGCCACATTCATGACATTTGTAAGGTTTCTCTCCAGTATGAATACTGCAATGTTTTGCAAGATGTGATTTCACCCTGAATGCCCTGCCACATTCATTACATTTGTAAGGTTTCTCTCCTGTATGAATACTGTGATGGTTTGCAAGGAGTGATTTCAGCCTGAAGGCCTTACCACATTCATTACATTTGTAAGGTTTCACTCCAGTATGAATATTGCAATGTTGTGCAAGATTTGATCTCAGCCTGAAGGCCCTGCCACATTCATTGCATTTGTAAGGTTTTTCTCCAGTATGAATATTGTGATGTGCTGCAAGGTTTGTACTAGATGTGAAGACCTTGCCACATTCATTACATTTGTATGGTTTCTCTCCAGTATGAATATTGCAATGTTGTACGAGATTTGACCTCAGCCTGAAGGCCTTGCCACATTCTCTACATTTGTAAGGTTTTTCTCCAGTATGAACAGTCTGATGTGATGCAAGGGTTGTACTATATTTGAAGACCTTGCCACATACATTACATTTGTAGGGTTTCTCTCCAGTGTGACTTCTGTGATGAACTGTAAGGGATATTTTGTGCCTGAAGGCCTTGCCACATGCATTACATTCGTAAGGTTTCTCTCCAGTGTGACTTCTCTGATGAACTGTAAGGGATACCTTGTGCCTGAAGACCTTGCCACAAGCATTACATTTGTAAGGTTTCTCTCCAGTATGAATTTTCTGATGACCTGTAAGGGATGTCTTGTGCCTGAAGGCCTTGCCACATTCATTACATTTGTAAGGTTTATCTGCATTATGGATAACTTTATGGATATCAATGCTTGAACGAAAACTAAATGCTTTGCCACGTCTACTACCTTTATAAGGTTTCTCTCCATTATGAATACTCTGATGTTGAGTAAGGTATGAATTGCAACTGAAGACCTTGCCACATTCATCACATTTGTAAGGTTTCTCTCCAGTATGGAATAGGAGATGAGTAGTATACCTTGAACATGCACGAAATGCTTTGCCACATTCATTACATTTGTAAGGTTTCTCTCCAGTATGAATAATACAATGTTGTGCAAGAGCTGATTTCACGCTGAATGCCTTGCCACATTTATGACATTTGTAAGGTTTCTCTCCAGTATGAATACTGTGATGTTTTGCAAGGTGTGATTTCTGCCTGAAGGCCTTGCCACATTGATTACATTTGTAAGGTTTCTCTCCAGTATGAATATTAAAATGTTGTGCAAGATTTGATTTCACCCTGAAGGCCCTTCCACATTCATTACATTTGTAAGGCTTCTCTCCTGTGTGAATACTGTTATGGTTTGCAAGGTATGATTTCCGACTGAAGGCTTTGCCACATTCATTACATTTGTAAGGCTTCTCTCCACTATGAATTCTCTGATGTTCTACAAGGGTTGAATTGCGTCTGAAGGCCTTACCACACTCATTACATTTGGAAGGTGTTTCTCCAGTAAGGATTACTGGATCAATATTAAGGCTTGAAGACACAATAAAGGCTTTGTCATGCTCATTACGTCTGCAACGTTTTCCCCTAATGTGTGCTTTCTGTTCTTGTGTAAGTAATGGAGAATCAACAAAACCATTCCTATATTTATTAAATATGTGGGTTTTGATATTAAAAGGAATGCTTTGTAGAGGTGAAAATAAGGAAATATGGTTGACAGACTCCTCAACTTGATTACATTCATAGATTTTCCCTTCAGACTGAAATAGCTGCATTTTGGGCAGATGGAACTGAAAGTGTAACCCAACTTGATTTTTAATAGGCTTGTTTCCTGGATTGCTTTCCAACACACAGCTCCTTCCTGGGGAAAAAAAAGAAGAGAATGGAACTTGAACCTATGGATCTGTCATGTCTAGGGTCTGGGAGAAAAGACTAGAATCTGCCTCTCCTCACTTGGACATTGTAAGCAGTATCAGGACACTTTGTTTATCACACAGGCTATTGAAAACAAGGTGAGGTGATATACTGGAACAGTGGGGGTCTCCAGGAGCCAGGAGGATAAAGGGTCAGTTTCTGGGAGATTATGAGCATAGAAATAGAACAGAAATCTAAAGCTTCTGGGGAAAAAAAAAAAAAAAGCACAGTTCAGCCTCTCAAGGAAAATAAGACATTTAAAGGAAGCTTTTTAAACATTCGTAATAGTACATAAAAAAAAGCCAGGGAAGATGTATCACCAGAAAAGGAATGGGTGCTCCTTGATCCTTTAAAATAGGGTGGGAGAGGTGGCTGTTTTACCAATACCCAAACCTAAAATAAAAATTGCAAGGCCTACAAAAAGACAGGGAAGTATAGCCAAATAAAAGAAACAATGTAAAAAGAGAAACTACTATAAAATATAATTTCTGGAGTTGCAATACAATAACTGAAGTAAAGATTCACCAGGGAGTTCAACAGGAGACTGAAAAAGGCAGAGGAAAGAATGAACATATTTGAAGATAGTTTATTCAAAATTATTTTCTCCAAAGAGCAAAAAGAAAACCTAATGACAAAAACAAACAAATCCTAATAGATTTTTGGGATACTATCATATGAAACCATATACAAACTATGGGGGTTTCATAAAGAGAAAAGAATCGGAAATCACAACTGAGGAAATAATGACCAAAACGTCCCAAATTATAGGACAGAATTGGATATACAAATTGAAGAAGCATTACTATTCTATCTGAAAGTACCCAAGGACACTGAAAAGAGACACATTATGAATAAATTATCAAAAGTTAAAGAAGAAACAATCATGAAAGTAACAAGAAAAAAGAGACTTACCATATACAAAGGGAACTATATAAGACTGTGCAGTTTTCAACAGAAACCCTGCCTGCTAGAAGACCATGGGATAATATATTTAAAGTGCTTTTAAAAATTGGCAAGCAAGAATACTATATTTAGTGAAACTTTCATGCAAAAATAAGAGAAATTTAGAATTTCCTAGAGAAATTACTGAGATAGTTCATCAGTACTCTAAACCTGTTGGTCAAGAAATGAAAATGAGTCCTTCAAGATCAAGGAAAAGGTCCCCAGAGAGTACCTCTTACCCTTATGAAAATATAAAGTTCTCCATTAAAGGTTAATAAAAGATCAAATATACAAACAGGCAGCAGTGTACTTTTCACTTGTAAGTTGACATTTAATATTTTCCTAGTATTTGAAAGATGAAATTATTTATTTATATATATTAATTTACATAAGTATAAATGGTAACACAACATATAGAAGCAATTTCTGACAGCAATAAAGTGAGAGCAAAGCTGTAAAAGAATGCTTTTTGTACATAACTGAAATTAAGCTGTTAACATTTTAAAATTGAATGTTATAACTTTACCATGTATGCATCTGCAAGGGTAAATATAAAAAAAACTATAGAAAATACATAAAAAAAAAGGTGAGATAGGAATCAAAGCATGTCATTACAAAGAACAATCAACAAAAAACACAGAAGGCCATAGGAAGAAATGAAAGACAAAAAAATCTGGAAGATGTTACAGGATGTACAGGTAATACGTGACAAAATGGCACTAGTAAGGCCTTCCCTATAACCAATTACTTCAAATCTAAAGAGGTTAACTTTGCAATCAGAAAAAAACATGATCCAACTAAATCCTGTCCAAAAGAGACTCCCTTGAACTATAAGGACATACACAGCCTGAAAGTGAGAGGATGCAAAAAGATAGTTCATGCAAATGGTAACCAGCAGAGACGTGAGGTGGTCACAGTAATATCAGAGAGGATAGATGTTTACTCTAAAATTATTATAAGAGACAAAAATTATAAAATGATGAAAGGGTCAATTCACCAAGAAGATATAACTATTATAAATATATAGGCACCAAACATCAGAGCCCCTAAGAATAGAATGGAAACACTGACAAAATTCAAAGGAGAAATAGACACATTCACAATATAGTAGAAGACTTCAAGACCCCATTTTCAAAATGGATAGAACCAGACAGAAGAAAACATAGGACTAAAATACCACTGTGGGCCATTGGACAAAACAGACTCATAGAGAACACACCAGCTAATAACAGCAGAATACAAATTTCTCTGAAGTACCCATGGAACAACTTCCAGAATATCCCTCATGTTAGCACACAGAACAACTTTTTAACAACTTAGAAAAACTGAAAGTATTTGAATTCATTCCCACAGTAATGAAATAAAACTAGAAATTTGAATAAGGAAAACGAGAAAAGCCACATACCTATGCAAGTTAACCAACACACATAAAAAACTGGTTTGTCAAAAAAGAAATCACAGAGGAAATTAGGAAACATCTTGATACAAAGGACAAGGAAAACATAACATACCACAATTTATGAAATGCCACAAAAATTGCTGGGAAAGATATTTATAACTATCTATGCTATATTAAAAATAAACAACATTCATATATAAACAACATAACTTTATACCTCAATGCAATAGAACAACAAACTAAACACTATGGTAGAAGGGAGGAAAGAGTAAAGATTACAAAACAAATGAAACAGAGAATCGAAAAGCATTAGAGAAAGTCACAAAACAAGGGATCATACATTGAACAATAAAAAGACTGACAAACCCACAGCCAGAATAACTAAAAAATAAAAAACCAGAAGACTCGGGTGACTAAAATTAGAAATGGAGAAGGAAACATTACAATCAATTCTATATAAATGAAAAGGAAATTAAGGGAGCAAGATTGAACAATTGTATGACAACCAATTTGATAACCAAGAAAAAAATGGATCAATTTCTAGAAGTACACAACTTACCAAGACTTAAGCCCAAGGATGAAAATCTAAACACATCAGTAACAAATAAGGAGATAGATTCAGTCATCAAATATCTCCCATCAAAGAAAAGCACTAAACCAGATGACTGTAATGTAAAATTTTACCAAATAGTGAAAAAAGAATTAACACCAATACTCCTTAAAATCTTCCATTAGCTGACAAAAAGCAAATACTTCCAAACTCAATCAATGAGGCTAGTATTATTTTGACAGCAAAGACAAAGGCCCTAAAAGAAAAGCAAACTATAGAGTAATATTCCTAAATAATCTATTGCAAAAGTCCTCAACAAAATGTGAGCAACACAAATTCAGCAGTACATTGAAAAGGATCACACATCACAACCAAGTGGGAATATATAGTCAACTGATGTTTAACAAGGGTGCCAAGACCATGCAAAGGGGAAAGGATAATTCCTTCAACAAATGGTGCTGAGGAAATTGGATATTCACATGTAAAGGAAGAAAGATGGACCCTTACTTTACACCATATCAAAAAATTTACTTATCATGGATTCATGACCTAAATATCAGAACTAAAATTCAAAACTCTTAGAAGAAATTACACATAAAGAGCTTTATGAGATTGGATTCAACAATGATTTCCTGGATATAACCCCAATATACAGAAAACAAGGTAAAAATACTAAGATGTTTATTTTCAAAAAGAATAAAAAAGAACACCAGAAAATAAGAAGTATTGGAGAGAATACAGAGAAATAAGACTTGAGCCCTGTTGGGAATGTAAAATGGTACAATGCAACTATACAAACAAGTATGACATTTCTTTGAATAATTCAAAATTGAATTATCATATGAGCCAATAATTCCACATATAGGCATATATTCAAAACAACTAAAGAGAGAAGCATCAACAGATATTCACAAACCCATGTTAATAACAGCATTAGTCAGGCCGAGGCGGGAGGATTGCCTGAGCTCAGGAGTTTGAGACCAGCTTGAGCAAGAGCGAGACCGTGTCTCTACTATAAATAGAAAGAAATTATCCAAACAACTAAAAATAGAAAAAAAATTAGCCAGGCATGGTGGCGCGTGCCTGTAGTCCCAGCTACTCGGGAGGCTGAGGCAGGAGGATCGCTTGAGCCCAGGAGTTTGAGGTTGCTGTGAGCTATGCTGACACCATGGCACTCACTCTAGCCCAGGCAACAGAGTGAGACTCTGTCTCAAAAAATAAAAATAAAAAAAAATAACAGCATTAGTCAAAATAACCAAAAGGTAGAAGCGGTCCAGGTGTGCAACATCAGAAGAATGCATAAAGAAAATGTGGTATGTACATAAAAATGAAATTTATTCAGTCCTAAAAAAAAAAAAAAAGAAAGAAAGAAATTCCATTACATGCTACAACAAGGATGAACCTAGAGGACACTATGCTAAGTGAAATAAACCAGATGTTAAAAGACAAATACTGTATGATTCCAGTATATGAGAGGCCTAAAATAGTCAAATTCACACAAATGGAACAGAATGGGGATGGGTGGAGAGGGAAATGGGGTGGGGAGAAGGGAGTTTAAATATTTGTGGTAATCAAACAGATGTAAATTTAAATAATGTGAAAAACATGATCGATTTTAGCTCTGCTATGCTCATACAAAGTAAAATATCGTAAAATTTCTTTGACAAACAAAAGGGCATCATGTCAAGAATCCCATTACTTTACATATTAGTAAATGTAGAGTTGTGTTTGTGAATGAATGAAAGCTTATATACACATATTTAAAATGAATAAATTTTGATTTCATAATTATCAGCAGAACACAAATAACCTGAGCCACAGTGGACACAGCTCGTACTGAAGGGCACTGTTAGGAACAGCAAAGAGCAGAAATGTTTCCTGGCAGCGGTGCGGACACCTAGGGACAAGGTCATCAGCAACAATAAGCAGCAAATAAGAGCCACAGAACAGCAGGACAGCACCAGGCTGTGGGTTACGAGGGACCAGGGGAACATTACAGGAAATTCACATGGAAAGACAGGGAACAAAACAGTCCTCATATGTTAACTCAAGAATGTAACTCAGAACTTTAGAAATTTTGCAGGAAGTAAAGGTGATATAAACAAAGGACCATAGGATAGTGGACAAAGGACTATGTTGCAAGAAATCGGGGAAGTTTCCCAAAAAAATACAATGACATATTTAAAAATTAATTTGGTATACCAAGATGGATGTGAGTGTGTGTGTGCATGTTGTCATGGTTCCTAGCTTATTAAAGCCAGCCAGTCAGAGTTCCTGAAGGCAACACTTCTGAGTGCTGACTGAAGTGGGTGGCAGATTTGGAGACTGAGCCCTCGACCTGTGGGACTAATACCATCTCCAGGTAGAGTGACAGAATTCATTTAATTGAACAGCACCCAGCTGGTGTCTGTGCAGAAATGATTATTTGCTTGTTGGTGGGGCAAATCCCCCGCAGTTGGTGAAAAAGTTTTGTTCTTATTGTTGTTGTGTGGTGGGAGAGCAAAAGAAGACATAGTTTGAGTTTTTCCTATCAAATGTAATAAATTCTACTAAGTCAATTTTAATGATATTTCTGGGACTAAAAGATTAACAATTTTGAAAACGTATATTCTTGGTATTAAAAATTCCTAATGTAAACACTGTGATAAATTAAAATGACAAAAGTATAGTGTAATATCAGGTATGAAGTCAGGTAAAACAAAAGAAAAATATTTAAATTATCTATTCAAAAACTTTTGTAGTATAGGTTTTAGACAAACTGCTGCTGGGCAACACCCTCTGTAGAAAACAATGAAATGTTCTAAAACATGTGAATCAATAGACTTTCTCAGACACGACAGCCCCACACACCACAGATAGGAAAACATGAACACAAAGAGTATAATACAAAATAGGGAACGTATAATTAATAAATAAACACAAACTGAGTTCATTTATAACATGGAAATGTACAAGATGAGAGTCGCAGTGGCTTGAACAAACCACGGTGGACTTAAAACCAGAGACATCACGCCAGTGAGCTATGATCCATGAGGGTCCCATAAAGCATCTTTCTGTTGCCTGCCTTTCCCATGCTGCTGAGTAACAGAGGGGACAACTGACTCCTGTTACATACAAGAGTCAAGTTGGATAAAATAGAATTGAAGAATGGCTGAGGGACCTTGCGAAGTAAGAAGAAATACATACACTGGGCTCCTCCCTGGTTCCTGACACAGACTCCTAATAACTCGGAATTTCCCGGTTGAGAGGAGTGGGACATGCTCTGATGAGGAAACTCTGTGGTGGCCTGGATGGAGGCTGGTCACCAGAAAGACAAGGCAATGACTAGAAGCCTGAAAGTTAAGCCCCAAGCACCATTTTCCAGGGAGGGGAGAGGGACTGAAAACTGGGTTGATGTCAATCATGCCTACGTGATGAAGGCCTCCGTGAAGAACCCTGAACCATGGGGTTATGAAAGCTTCCAAGAGCTGAACTCGTGGACGTGCCCACAGGGTGGCGCACCCAGTGAATCTTCCCTGTGCCTCGCCTGCCCTGTGATCTCTTCATCTGGCTGTTCCTCTGTAGCCTCCAAAATACCCTTTATAATGAACCAATAAACACAGAAAGGGTTTCATGGAGTTCTGTGAGCAAATTAATCAAATCTGAGTAGGAGGGTCAAGGAACCCCCAATCTATAGCTGGCTGGTCAGGATATGTGACAATGTACTACTTGTGCTCAGTGTCTAAGGTGGCGGGCAGGCGTGGGGACTCAGCCCTTAGCCTGTGGAATGTGACTCTAACTCCAGGTAGACAGGCTGATAAATGAATTACAGAAAACACATTTGATGTGCCCTGAAAATCAGTTGGTGGGGAGAAATCCCCGCACATTTTAGTGACCAGAAGTGAAGCATTCTGTGTTGAGTGGCGCATGGGAGGAGGATAAATACTGCCTTTTGCTTAACTCAAAGAGAACTGAACAGGCAGAGAGGGCTGGAGACAGCTCTATGCAGTTTCTGGGCCCCAGATGCAAAATAAAAGAAGAGCAGCCAATGTTTTGCGATCTCCCGATTCGGTCTTCCAAGTACAGGAAATGGGGTGGAACCTGAATGGGTCAAGGTGTCAGGTCTACGGAGGCCTCAGCTCCGACCTACACAGAGAACTGGGCACCAGATGCAATCAAGTACAGAAGGAGACACCACAGGGGAAAGAGAACCCTTAGAATGTGCCACACAGAGTGAGGGGACCAAAGAGTTCACAGAAGCCAGGTGACAGGGTGTTGTCCACCATGATAAAGACTCTGCCTTTATCTGTGTTTGAGCTGCAGCACCACTGGAGGGCGATACGGAAAATTATTAAAGGTCGAAAGAACAGAATGACAAGTGGGGACAAAGAAAGATTTCCATTCAGAGCTCACAGTCCTTAAAACTTTTCATTTACCACGGACTTCTCCTACTTGCAGTGTTTCCCACACACTGGTTAATGGTGCTGCTTCCACTGTGCCCACCTGAGCTCTTACCTGAGTTCACACCTTTGGTCCATTCCCCTCGATCTGGGTTTCTTGCTGTTTGCACTTCACTCTCCACAGTCCAGGGCTCTTTCCCTTGTTCCAACATGGAGATAACACTCAGGTCAAGAAGAGAAAGTCCTGCTTATAAAAAGAAAGACTCAAGAAGTGCTGTGGCTTTTCCTAAATCTAAGGCCTACATTTAGGCAGGAGAGAAGATATTATAAAAGAACCAAGAAAAATATTTCACAAATAGTACAAGAAGATGTACCAGGAAGGGGGCATGGTATTTGATGAAAGGGGACATTTAAAGTCCAGAAAGCATTAATGGAGCTTTTCATTTCTGAGTCACTAGGCTTCAGTGTCAGTCAAGCAACGCAGGGGCTCCCAAGGGGCACACAGAGAAAATGCAAAGACACACAAGGGCAGATCCCGATGTCCAGAGCCATGTCATCCTCACCCAGGGAGACCAGGTTCCTGTAGTTCTCCAACATCACGGCCCTGTACAAAGCCCTCTGAGCAGGGTCCAGGCATTTCCACTCCTCATGAGAGAATTCTATGGCCACATCCCTGAACGTCAAGTGTCCCTAAAAGGAAAAACATAGTTCACCAATGGGATACGGGAAGAATTCTTTTCTTCACACAAAGGAGAGGAGAGTTTTAAGGATTGATTCATTTGAAATGAGCATTCTCACAGATCCATGGTAATGTATTTTTGAGCTAGTTATGTGTCCATAATTGTGTTTTATTATACCTTTTCGTAAGAAGTTATGATATTCTCTAAATTAGTGTGGATTTCTCATTTTTGTGGACAACACAAGAAATACAAATACATAAAAAGTTAACAGAAGCTTATCTCTGTATCTCTATAGAGGTGTTAGATATTCTGTTTGAAACACCAAACGATATTCAGTATCTATCTAAACGAGAATATGAGTGGTATCTTCAAGATGACTGTGTCCACAGTGGCTTTAAAGAAAGATCAGAATTTAAAAACTGTGATGATGGCAGCAATAGCCATGCCAGAATTTTTTGAATACTTACAATATGCTAGGAATTATTCTAAATTACTCTAAATGCTTTACATGTACTACCTGCTGCAACAACAGCAGCCCACGAGAGACAGATCTGTTCCCATCTTAACGAAGAGACAAGTGTGTCTCAGTCACTCCATGAAACTCACGTCAGGTCTAAGGGCTAAAAATCCTAGAGTAAGCACCAGATTCTGGTTGTCAAGACACCAGATCCCAGTTGTCAAGGTGTAACAATCGAACCAAAAGGATCAAACAGTTAAGGAGCAGATCGGCATTAAACATGAATTGACAGGTAATTAACTCCTTGAGAAAAGCTGAAACTGGTTCAAGGACAAGAACATGCAACTGCATAAAAAGGTCAGGTACATACAAATACGCTGGTAATATGTTACTATTCCTACTATCAAGGAACTAACATGACAGTGTAGCATGATTTTAAGGTCATGGAAAATATTTAAAACTGCAGTTAAACATAATAAATTTATATGAGATGATTATGTGCCTTTGATAAAAACCACAGGCTTGCTCCTCCATGCCCACCTTCACACACATCACATACACACTTATACATGTATGTGTATACTGACACGTATCCACTGAAATAACAGGACATGTCTCTGTGGAAAGATGGTCCTCCGCTGCCCACTGCACCAGGGGGTTTCAGGGAAAATAAACTCCTACAGGAAGACAAACTAGTGAGTTTCTGACCATTTCTTAAGAACTCGCTCCCCTCCTGGTGAAGCCCACACTCATGCTGCAGCAGTGGGGAGCTGGGCTGGGCTGAGCCCCCCTCCAGGGCACAGACCCGCCCTTGACCAAACCTGATGCAGAGCACAGCCCCCCTCATTCCTCCGTGCATCCCAGGCCGATCTCAGCCCTCAGCAATGGAGGACACCATGTGTTGAGTACTAAATGCTGGACAAAAACTAGTGTGGAATCCCTTTTTTGACGGTGATATGTTCTAGAGCCACAGAGCATATCTGAATCTTCAGATAGTACTGAACCTTATGTACTATGTATGTTGAATGAGTATCAATACAATATTGAAAAGGAAAAATAGATGGTTTGTTTAATGATATTTAAACCTATTATGTCATTATTACTTGTAAACATATCATCTGAAACTTTAACTACAAAGTATCACATCAAAACATTTACTGATGGACTTTTTGCCGGCCGGGCTTGGGGGTTCTTGCTTTTATTCCCACCCTTTTGGGGGGTTGAGTTGGGGGTTTGTTTGGGGCCGGGGTTTTGCCCCCGGCTTGGGCACCCCGTTGGGCCCCCTTTTTTCCAAAAAATTAAAATTTGAAAAAGGAAAATTTGGTCGTTCTTGTTGTTTTTTGCTTTTGTTCCCGGTTATTTGGGGGGTTAAGTTGGGTGGTTCCTTTGGGCCCGGGAATTGAGGTTTGGGGGCCGGAGGGGGCCCCGTTTTCGGGGGGGGTGGGGTATGGGGGGGGGGGGAGGTTCGCTTCCGTGCCGGCACAGTCTGGTCTGTCCACTTCCTGTGCTTGGCCTGGTTGATTTCCTCTTGTCCTGTCTGTCCTTTGCGTTGTTTTTTTATTTTAGCTGATGTCATGGAATAATCTCTTTTCTCTCTGTGTTTTTTTTCTGTTTCATTTTATTCTTTTTCTTTTCAAATCTGTGGTCGGGGACACAGTGTTTTTCCTGTTTTTCTTTTCATGTGTTGTATAATCTGGGGGAGAAAAATCTCTCCTTTTATGTGTCTTTTTTTCGAGTTTTTCGGAGATCTGTGTGTGTTTTCCTGTGAGTTTTCCGTGTGGTGTGTCTAATCCTGGTCTACAGACAGCTGACAGTGCATCCAGATGTGGGCCACAAACAGTCCCTGCTGCCCAACAGTGCTGACACCGCAGGGCCACACCTCGTCTCCAATCCATGTCTGGGTATAGAGCCCTTCCCCAGACCATGCCCAGTGGAGCCTCTTTCCAAGGTCATGTCGCTGGGTCACCATGAAATGGAATCAAAGTGGAGATGAGAAGAACTGACAGAAGACACGGGAGAGTGGGAGCAAACGTGTCAGGCACGCTTCAGAGTCAGAGAGGACCAGCAACTCCAACGCCCGGCATTTCAGAAAAGGAGACTCAGAACGTCCACTGAGAACATCACTTTACCTGAGTAAGATCCATCCCTGACTTATTTTCTTTCCTCTTCCTCCTCTTCTGGGTTTCTTCCTCACCCAGCGTGACTCTTCAGAAGTCAATCCTGAACGTCAAAAATATGTTGTAAAATGCTGAGAATCAACACACTCCCTTTCATGCACCATTACACGAAGGGGAAAGACTTCCATGTAAAAGACAGTCCTCTGCTGTTCCTAACACCAGGTGAGATGTAGGGAGAATAAACTTCAACAGGACAAGAAATAAGTATGTTTTAGACCTGTTTCATCAGAGTTCACCCCCCTCCTGGTGAAGCCCACACACACGCACATATGCGTGTGCGTGCGCACGCTGCAGCTGGGCTGGACTGAGCTCCCCTCTGGGGCACAGACCCGGCCCTGACAAAACCCGATGATGCACAGCACACCCCTCCTCACCCCTCCATTGATCACAGGCTGAGCTCAGCCCTCAGAAATCAAAGACAGAGCCTTGATACTCCACCCTGAATACAAAATAACATCAGCTCTAAACATTGCTAAGCATGGGCCCAGCCTGTCTATGTGAATGGGAATCTCTGGTCAGAGGGCACCAGAGATGTATTTGCAAAATCCCTCCACTCAGAGGGGAAGTCCAGCACACCTTCCATCTCCTCTTCCCTCGGGCACGTCTTGTCACCAGTATCTAGACCTTGGAAAGTGGAGGAGGAGAAAGGAACATGCAGAGCAGCCAATATGGACCAGAGATGAGGCTGTGGGTGTAGCTGGGATGTTACATGGAAGTTAGATAACAGAAGTCCCCACCTAGAGCGGGGTATCAGAACAAAGACCTGGGGAACAAAAGATATTTGTCACCTACAGCTGAGGAGCCACAGAGTTCTAGGCAGAGGGACAGCCCACATGAAGGTCCTGAGGCAGGAGCCATCTCAGCCCCAGGAAAAGGAAAGAGGCCTGTGAGGCTGGAGCAGAGTGAGTGAGGACGACACAAGCAGGAGATGAGGCCAGAGAGGTCCTGGGGGAGCAGAGCAGGGAGGGCCAGGGCTGCAACCATTTCTCTCCCACACTTCAAGAGAATTTTGGAAACACACTTCCTCATCCATTTTAGGTAAACATGTAATTTTTTCTTTAGTTTATACATGGACACATTAAAAATATAATTTTAGATATTTTAAATATATGACAAGAAGTCCCGCTAAGCCCCAGGAATTACAGGGTTACCCTCACCTGAGATGTGAGGACTGCAGGGGAACTCATTTGGGGGAGTTCAGAAAGTCCCTTTTGGACATATGAAGGTGGCAATGCCTGTTAGACAGCCCAGCAGAGACATGAGGACACAAGAGGACACATGATTATAAGCTTTGGGGGAGAGGTCTATAGAGAAAATGGAGAGATGTTGGTGGGGTTTAAACCATAAGATGAAATGATAAAGAAGCACAGTGGGTGTGCACAAGGACAGAAGAGGATCCAGGACTCAATGGTGGGACACTCCACCATTCAAAGAAGACACCTCAGGAAACACCAGCAAAGAAAACAGGTCACACATGAAGGTGCTGACAAAAATTTAAAACGAAGCAATTTTCAACATTTAGAAAGACGTCCTCCAAGCCAAGAACAAAGAGGAGGAGGAAATGATCAGCTGTGCAACAAACTGCAGACAGGAAAAGAAAGATGAAGAGGGGAGGTCACTGGTGACTCTGAACAGACAGGATCAGGTTGACCATAAGGGGCAAATAAAGAACTGGACGCAAGAATTAAAGACAGAATAGAAACAAGATTTTAGGGTTTGTGCTCTTAAATAGAGCATAGAAGAGGGCCACTTACTATGGGGGAAAATGTAGTTAATAGGGTCTTTTTTGCCTGAATGATGAAAAAGCGGAAGGAAAACAAAGACTTTAGAGTGTGTCTGTGCACGTGTTTTAAAGGATAATACAACGATCGGGATAGGCTGACGAAAAAATTCCTTAGAAGGAAAATGGGTGATGCAGCGTAGGAAGGATGCCACACCATGCTGACGCTGTCAATGGGGCACAGTCACAGGGCCAGTGATGGCCAAGTGCAGGGACAGACCATTCCCAGTCACTACTTAGTAGAGATCGCAGGCCCTGAGACAGGGGCGTGGGGCTGTTGTGAGTGTCTTCCTTTTATTGTTTGGGATAGCAAAAATCTACTCATATTCAATAAAGAATATTTCACCTCTAGTCACCAATGTGTGTGTGGTTTTTCCCACATTCACCAGGTTGCTGGGACGCCCAGTTGGCTGCCATAGAATTTAACTCAATTTTGATGCTATAATATCTACCTGCTGATAGGGTCAGATTCGCCAGGTGAAGAACTGAGTCCCAAAGACTGTCCCTCCCTTCACATGCAGACAAAAATGATGGTTTCCAAAACCCTCTTCTAGGTTTTGATTAATTTGTGAGAATGGCTCCTGCTTCTGGTTGTTCATCTGTATCCTCTGTACAATAATATCCTTCATAACAAATGAGTAAACCTAAATAAAACATTTCCCTGAGTTTGTGAACAGCTCTATTAAATTCATAAAAAAGTGGGGAAAGGGAAACCCCCAATTTATAGTTATTGCATCACAAGTTCAGGTCCCAATTTGGGACCTAGGACTGGCATCAGATGCGGGGCAGTCTTGTGGAACTGAGCCCTAAAACTATGGATCTGATCTATCTCCACGTAGATAAGGTCAGAATTGAGTTAAATTACAAAACACAGAGTTAGTGTCTGATGAAGAATGGCTTGTTAGTGAGGAGTCGTCCCCACACATTCTGGTGACCAGAGGAGAAGTATTCTGCATTGAGTATTCACCAATATACTGACGGTAAGAGTAGAAAAAACACTTTGGTTTCTCTCATGCACTGCCCTACACCCTACCCCATCCCAGGAAAAGGGAAGAGGGTGACCCATAATTGAATGAGCCAAGTCACTGCCACCTGCCAGAATAGGGACTGCAAACAGAAGCTAGCCTGTGATGCCAAGCATTATAAAAGGAACCAGCCCCACACACAGGAGTTTGGCAATTCTCAGCTTCACCTGTAAATTTTCAACAAATGTTAAATTTATTAGATTATAAATAGAGAAATCAAAATGTACATCCCTCTGCTCATCATATCTAATCATCTCACCATTTATCTGGACCCAGGTCCCCTCTTTCATCATTCTGTACATACCTCTCATTCCTACCTTCTCTCTCTAAGCTTCTTTTTTCCCCCATTCTGCTCATTTGTGCCCCTCTCCTCTCTTACTCATTTTCCCCTCTTCCCTCTATTCCTTCTGTTACCCCCGATCTACTCCATTCTGGCTACTTGTTTCACCCCACTGCTCTTTCTCACCAATCTTTGCACTTTCCCAGTCTCCATAGATTTCTGACTCTTCCTTTCCCATCTCTGCTCCCCCCGTTTTCTCTGTTAAAGTCCCCGTTCCCTGTTACACCTCCTTGTCCCCATTCTCTGGCACCCCCAGGTCACTAAGCTTTCCCCCTTGCTGTGGTTCCTTCTCTGCTCTCCTTGTCACCAGGTGCCCCCTCTTGCTGTCCCAGCACCAGGCTGCTCTGTCTGCCCTGGCTCCAAATCATAGGTCCCCTCCCCCTACTCTGTCTGAGGTGCCTCCCCCTTTGCTGCCCCTCTCCCTATCTTGCTGTCCTTTATTTTCTTAGACATTGACCTTTTCCCTTAATTTCTCCTGTTCCTTTTCTCCACCTGCAACTTTCTCAATCTCTTCTTTCACTCTTACTGCGTCTTTGCAAATCCCTCCCCCATCCGCTACTGTACATCTGTTTATAGGTCTCCCTAATTCTTTTGTCTTTCTAAATTTTTCTATTCCCTCTCAGTTGCTCCGCATCTCCCTCTCTCCACACGTTCACAGGAAGGGGAGCGGAATAAGATGCCGACCTCAGGAAGAGCGCATTTTCCAGTGGGAAGGAATTAGGTGCAGAAGAACACTGGATGTCACAAGACAGGCCCAGGTCACCTCCAACGCGGGATGAGGAAGAAGCGGTGACTACGAAGGTGAGATCTGGGAGCAGAAGGGCCCAGCCCAACGCGGACAAGGACGGGGATGTCCTAGGAGGGAGGGAGGTGGGTGTGCAGAATCCCAGGAGCAGGGAGAAGACGCCGCCTCTCCCGGCCTGGGGCTGCGGCGCTGCCCTCCAGGGCCGGCGAGGATGAGGCGTGTGGGAACGGAAGAGTCTAAATCCACATCGCGGGCGAAGACTCTACAAGGCGCGAGGCGAGTGCAGGAATCACCGACGGGTTTTAAACAGGAAAACGGCGCGAAAGGCGGTGTCTCCATGGCCCTATGGCCGGAAGACCGGGGACGGGACCAGCCTCAGCGCGATTTAACTCAAAGGGAAGCGGCCCCGGACTCTCACCGGGACGTCTGAATTCACTCGGGGCGAGAGGAGCGTTGCGAGGATTTCAAGGTCAGTGCAGCCGCCAGATCCCGGGCACAGTAGCGCTGGGGAATCGCGAGGCGGAGACTTAATCTACACAAAGGAAAACTCACCCGCCACGGCGTGGCCCGCTCTCCACGCGGTCCGCTTCCGGGTCTGCGGAAAACTGCGCGCGCAGGAGAGGCCGGGGCGGGGCCCGCGGGGGTGGGCGGGGCCCGCGGCGGGGTCTGGGCGGGGCCTGAGCTTAGGTCCTGCGCGTCTCTGTTTTCAGGGTTTAGATGAGACCAGCCGGTGAGGCTACGCAGTTCTTTCTTACACCTGCTATTCTGTTTTACACTTGAGATGAGTTAACGTCAAATACCTTTGACACAAACTTTGTTGACATCATAAGGACTCACTGGTCTGGGAACTGGAATCTCTCTGGAAGGGACAGCGGTGGTTGGTGACTGGATCCAGGAAAGTTTCAGCAATTAAAATTAATTTTAGCAATTTAGCTTAAAAGCCCTGGAACCGTCTGTGAAGGAGACAGTGAATTGCAAAACCTTGCCAGGGCGGAATGTGCCTTTTCACGCTGACGCCCAACAGGATAGAAAAGAAATCCTTAACATTTCTATTCCCCGATGACACCCGGGGATGAG